AATTCGGTCTCTGTAAAGTTTCATTATAATTAATAATAATAAAAAAATTTAAAAGAAGTATATTGTGAGCAACAGTTCATGTTATCCCATAGTCTTCTAAAGCATTATTTCAGGATCAGTCATATTTTTATTTGTGATGCTTTGGAAGAAGTAGCAAAATGAAATTTCCTAATTTTTAAGTCTTCCTAAGCAATTAAAAAGAATAGAATGTGAAACTGAATTGTAAAAGCCTTTTGTAATTTTACAGTTTGACAAATGAATGGAACAAATGTCAAACTTGTATGTGGAAGAGTACAAACGAAGGGAATTAAATGAATGATAATATGAAAGAGTAGTAAAAAAAATTCAGAAACATTTGTATGAATTCTCAGAGCATATTAGCCCAAGATATTTCTACAATAAAAAAGAAGAAAATTAGCATTATAGAATAAAGTTTTGAAAAAGGAATAAAAATATTACTATACATCTTCCATAGAGCTATAGAGTATACTTAGTAATCTAGGCTGCTTCACCTTAATATAACTGTAAATAAAAAAAATCATGGAAAAGAAACAAAATAATAAAGCAGGCAGAACAAAATTCACAAGAGAGTAACCTAAAAGGATTAGAAACTTTCAGTGGGAAAGACAAATCCAGAGAAGACTCTGCCCTGAAGTCTAAATTATAATGTAAGTGTGAAAAGCTAAATATTTATGTTTTCAACAAATTTCAGAATATTACAACTGAAAGATCTTCCTTCAATGAGAAGGATGTCTTTTGGAGGTCAAAACAATCCAAACTTAAAGGATGGCAATCAGGCAGAACAAAAAGACTGCACTGGTAAGATCTGAGTAAATTCACGATTTTAGATAAAACCACATACTGAGGAAAATCTGGCCTGTTGGAATTCAGCTTTAGCCTTATGGAATGTTGTTATTGTTGTTAGCTGCTGTCAGTCAGCTACACTTAGAGAGACCCTATGAACAACACATCTGAACCTTGCACCGTCCTGATGATCTCTGACTGCTCAAGCCCACTATTATAGTCACTGTCACTTAACAATCTTGTGGAAGGTGTTCGTGTCATCCTCTAACCCTCCACCTTTTCCAGCATTTAAACCCTTTTCTAAGGACTGGCCTTCTTTGTCCCATGGGTAGAAGACAAGGTCTCACCACCCTTGCTTCCAAGGAGCACTTTCTTTAAGATAGACTTGTTCTTTTGACAGTCTATGGGATATTCAGCATTCTTCTCTAACATCATAATTCAGTTCTTTTTCAGTAACTTTATTCAC